GATGCCCCATCTATGGAAGACTTTGCATCTCTCCATTGTGAGCTTGGAGAACGTGCCCCAGCAGCTTCTGTGCAATCATTGATTCTTTTGTTTACCTCTACATGACCTTCATTTTGTTCCTGTCCCTTGGCCACAAAGAAAGAATTGTACGTTCCTGAGGCACTGACATAGGCCGGGCGAGGTGGGAGCCTCTTTCTGGATATTTTTATCCTTTTAAATGCATTATTTTCCCGCTTATTTACATGATTGCCCAGTATTCAGAGAAGTTACATTACACACCTGAAGCTCCATAATAAATCTGTGGATGTGAGATTCGAACCCATGTCTTTCCCATTCTACTTTTTGTGCCTTTCTGTTTTATTTTGCTTCTTGGTATTTCTATGTATTATTAATAGTCTAAAGCTTGGAAGTAGATGCAATAGCCATTAGAGTAAAGCAAATACAGTAGTGTGCTCTCTGAAGGATAACAGGAAGATTTTTGTTGTAATTGCTGTTTTGAATTTTCTTTTAAGAATGTTGCCGAGGTAGTAAAACAGAGGGAAAAACCAGCAATGGTCACTGTGTCTAACTTTTGTCACATGCGTGGACCTAATTTCTTCTTTGCCAAGCAACAGAGGCTTTCTTTTTGAGATGGTGTGAGGGTGGCTGAGTTTAGCATGCTTGCTGGGGTTGGGAAAATCTGGTGTGGTGGGGGTCAGTGGCCCCATGACACGCCACGGCAGAGTAAGCCACGGAGCTCAGTCTGCCATATATGTGGTCTCCTCCCTTCCTCACATCTGTGTCAACACCAGGCAAGAGGTGCCTAATTCCAGTGGGGATGAAGCAGTCTCTGCCCATCCCTCTCCTCCATCAAGAGCTCTGGACACACGTGAGGTTGAACCCCCAGATGGCGGCTGCCCAGGGAGTGTGTCCACCTCTCACTTAGGCCAGGCGCGTGGCAGCTCACTGCGGCAGGCGTTCTGTGGGCAAGGTCAGTGCTTTCCTGATGTCTTTAATATTTTTCCTTATTTGGCCTAGTCTGAGACCAGGACTTTCCCCTGCTTGTGACCTCTGACTTCATTTGCAAAGTTTTCTCATGCAGTTTCTGAAATTTTCAAGACAGAGAGCACTGGAGGAGTTTGGGGCTAGATGGAGATAGAAGGTTTAGAGCTAGGAATCTTTATGCATTTTCTCCTTCTCTTTATTTCTTTTTCTTGACTTAAGCTTCACATTGGGCTCTGTCTTCCCCATGCTCAGAAAGCAGAGGAGGCTTGAGCTTCCAGCAAAGACCTTACCACATGTTACTGGTGACAGGCTGGCACATGAAAGGGGCGGGTGGGAAGGGTGTCCCCCCACTGAGCATCGCTATGGCTGAGTTCTGCATGCTTGCTGGGGTTGGGAAAATCTGGTGTGGTGGGGGTCAGTGGCCCCGTGACATGCCAAGGCAGAGTAAGCCACGGAGCTCAGTCTGCCAAATTCCTAGCATCACTGGCTCTGTTCTCAGCCAGTTGCCCAAGGGTGCCTTTTGTCCCCACATCTCATTACCATGTTCTCTTCCTGCATCCAAGCACAGGCAGGACCAGGGCTACTGTTTCGGGACTGAGTCCCACCCTAGTGTTTTCTCTGGGCCTCCACAGGGGATCTTCCTGCTCTGAATTCCGCATGCATCCTCCAGGCCACGCTGTAGGCCACACTGCACACTCACCCTACCTCCACCCGTTTCTAACTACTTAGAGTTCAATCAGTGTGAGAGTCACCAGTCTTATGTAGGCTGGAGCCTGGCACATAGTAGGTGCTTTGTGCATGTTTATCGAGTGAATGAATGAACAGGAAATGAAATGCACTTTGCCTAAAAGCTGATCTGATCTGATCTAAGTACCCAGGCATTTCACCCTTCTTCCAAAGCTCTCCTTTTGTTCCTGTGGCCTGGGAAATGCTCAGTTCCAGGCTTGGCACAGGTGAGGTCTCTCTAGGTGGCGTGAAACAGACCATGAAGCCCCCATGAGAAATAGCCCACCCACTAGACAGGCCCCTCCACTCCCAGGATACTCCAGCCAGAGCACTCCAGCATGGGGGCTAGGACTCCTCTTTTCCGAGGGAGAGTAGACAGTGGGAGGAATTCAACTCAGAATTATTTCCTGGAGTGGTTAGGAAAGTAGCATCTCTGAAGTCACAGAGGCTTCACTGTGAGAATCCCTTACAGAATTCTGACCCTGACCAAGCAGAAAAGGGCACTGCCCCCTTTAAAACAATTAACTTCTGAACAAAACAACATGCTAAAATAAAACCAGAATAGTTTGAAAATATTGGAAAGTTGAGAGAAATCCCCCCAATTCCATCATACTAGCATCACGATAGTATATAGTATAGTACATATATGGCGTATTATATGGTATATTATGTATACATACTGTGTATACTGTATGTTATATAGTACATGTATGTAGTATAAATTATTTTTCACATATATGTTGCTTTGGTATATTTTCTTTCATGTTTTTGTTGATTTGGTAGATAGAGTTGTTTTCCTGTTTTGTTTTACAACATATTTATATTGAACACTAACATTGTATTATAAGTTTTTCCCCCCATACTATGACATGGTCTTTATGGCCACACTTAAAAAATGAATCATTTATTTCTGAAAACAGTCAAGTCCATTTTATTCCGGCTTCTGGGTCCCGCCCCTCCCCAGGCACTCGCCCACTGCAGAACTGCCTTAGGCTCAGTTCCGCAGAGAGCCCTCAGGTTCTCCACACCACAGGCCCCATGCAAGCTTTTTCTGAATCCTGGGCAGCCCCTCTGGGTCTTCAGGGCTCGGTTGGGATGCCACCATTGCTGTATGCAACACTGGCACATGTGCAGGTCCCTGTGCTCGGTACAGCCAAACTCACGACTGCCTCATCACCACTGTCACTACAGCACCTCACATAGGGCCCGCATGCTGGATGCTCTCAGCGCGTGCTTATTGAATGAATGGAAGGGCGAATCACGAGAAATGACCTGGTGGTCGTTTTCCGTGCTTCCTCCCGGGGTTTTTCCTTTGATGTATGCACCTTGCGTGTGTGTGCATAGAATAGACAACACCAAATCTATAGTCTTATTGTCCTTTTGCCTCCTTAGCATTCAATCATAAGCACAGCAAGCATCACTGTCCAAGGCTGTACTGTGCTTCGTCTTGCGTCTGCATCCTGCCTTGTTCGCCATGTCTCTGGAGTTACGCATCTACTTGCATGTTGCTTTCACCACTATAAACCATACTTCATTTCCTTCTCCTGTTAGGCAGATCTGACCCCTCAGCCTGCCTCTTCCAGCCATGATCAGACTGTTGTTAGTTCAGCACCTGAGGCAGGGTACTTTAAGAGTTCTGAGCCCTTTTGTGACCCCCACCCTTAAGGTGACTCTCAGCACCCATCGGCCAATCAGCCGTATTCGTAGTGAGTTCCTATGGCTGGTGGGCTATTTCCCTAAGGAAAAGCTGGGTGGGTTCTCACTGGGGTTGGACCTAGGGCAAAGGGGAGATGAGGGAATGGGAGAGGCTGGATGCCCTTGGTGGGGCTTCCCGGTTTGATCTTACATCAGAGTTGGAAAGCAAAGCATGCCCTTCTGCCGCAGCTAGCAGTTTCCCCAGCTGCGCCTGAGCTGTGAACTGGGCAGGGGCCAAGTGCCCGCTGAGGAGCACAGGGTAGGAGAAGGAGGCAGAGATGCTCCGAGGCAGTCTGCGGTGGGCTCCTCCCCTTCTCACCATGCAGCTGTCTCCTCCCTTGGCCCTGTGAGAGCATGGGGGGCTCACATTCTCCTCTCTGTGCAGGAGCAGGGCATGGGCCACACTCTAGGAGAATAAAGTTGACTTCTTTTATCAGGACAGGACAGCTGCTGTCCTGTGCCTCATTCGTTCATTCAGCAAAGGCTTCCTGAGCTCCTGTCCTATTGCAGGCATGACTAAATGCTGCAGATGTGAAGGTGAATTGACATATTTGGGTTCTTAGACTTTGCCTTCTAGCAGACCCCAAACAAGTAAATATAATGTTGCGTGTGGCACATGCAGGCGTTTGGTGCCTGGGACAGTGGTGGTATGGAGGAGGGAATGTTGTCTGTGTCTGAGAGCACTGGGGAGGCCTCAAGGGGAGGCTGTGCCTGAGCTGCATTTTGGAATGAGTTCACAGGTCCAATGGGAATGACACTGTTCACATGTACTTGGGTGTCGGGAGAAGAGTGGGGACACATGGCTCTCACAAACAAGAAGAGTGACTCTGAGAAAATTGGAGACTATGCAGAAGCTGACAGGGAATGTGATGTGGACAAAGGGGCCGCCATGCCAGGAGGCAGGTCTGGTAGCCTGAGGAGTGATGGGTTGACGTTAGGGCCAGGACAGAGAGGGCTGTGTGAGGAACAAAGACCATGAAGTCCATGGTCCTCCAACGCTGTGACCCTGATGCTGCCGCCTCCCTCTGTCCTCAATGCTCGGCCAGGGCCAGAGGAAGCTCGAGCATGGAGCAGGGCTGCCTGTTCACTTACAGTCCTAACCCTTCACACTTTCAGTGCTAACCCCTGCATCATGTGGAGCAGGGGCTTCCACATGAAGGAGTCTACTTGTTGACAGATGACCCAGAAACTTCTAATGACCCAGAAACTTCTGGAGGGTCCCCAAGTCCCTAATGCAGCCCCCAGAGCAGGCTCTTTCCCTTCCCCTCTAGATGCTCTGTTTCATGCCTGGTTAATGCCCGGGAACTACTTCTGCCAGGGGAATCCTATGTTTCTCTCTACTGGGCTATAGGGGAAGCTGCCCATGGGCATTTTCAGCAAAGACCCCTGTCCTCACTCTGCCTCTGGGAGGTGGGCCCTGGAGGACGGTGCCATCCACACTCCTTGTCTTCTCAGAGGCAGTGCAGTTAGCACACCCATCCTACAGACAGTGGAGGAGGCCTGAGCATCAGGGTCCTGTCTGATGCCAGCTTATGGTGTGCTGTGCCTGACTGCCAAATGCCCGTCTCACTGCTTGTTCTTTCCTCTCTCCGCAGGGCCCCGTGGCGGTGTGTCCAGCCCAGTGTCACAGGAAGTTCTCCCATCTCATGGTTCCTTGTTGGGCCAAGCCCTCCAGAACTCCAAACTCCTGAAGACTGATGGCTGCCAGAGCAGCCACCTTGCTCATCCTGTGGCCCTGGCCCTGCTGATCACTATGGCAGGGAAGGGGGCCCCATGGAGCCCATTGGCTGAAAACAGGTGGCAATTTAACGAACCTGAGTTGGGCCAGGGCCACAAGCCAGTGCTGCTGGAGAAGACGAACTGCCTGGGCCCTGAGGCCGCTGTGGGCAGGGCGGGCCGGGATGTGGGCAGTGCAGAGCCGGCACTGTTGGCAGCCCCAGGCAGGCCCCGATCCGGCCAGCCACTGCCCCCGAAGGCACATGGGGAGCAGAGGCAGAGCGCCTTCACAGAGCTGCCGAGGATGAAGGACCAGTGCGGGGATGCTCAAGCCCAGGAGAGGGATCATGATGACCCTACAGGTCAGCCTGGCACCCTGCACCTGGCCCAGGCTGTCCCCAGAGACCCGGCTGGCAGCACAGTCTTCTCTGTGTGGCCCAGCAGAGTACGAGGTGAGCAGAGAAGCGCCTTTAGCAAACCAACCAAGAGACCTGCAGAGAGGCCGGCACCAACCCCAGTCTTCCCTGCAGGGGAGTCTGCAGACACCCTGGGGGAGCTGTCTGGACTCTTCAACACGGCAGACCTCCCTTGTTGGGGTCGACTTTCAACTCCCAAGCTTTTGGTTGGTGATTTCTGGAACTTGCAAACATTGCCACAGAATGCTCCACTCTGCAGTGCTTTCCTGGGTGCCCCCACACTGTGGCTCGAGCACACCCGGGCCCAGGGGCCCCCACCTTCATCATCCTCCACCATTTCGTGGGCCCTCCTGCCACCTACCCTCACTTCCCTGGGCTTGTCCACCCAGAACTGGTGTGCAAAGTGCAACCTCTCCTTCCGCCTGACGTCCGATCTGGTCTTCCACATGCGGTCCCACCACAAAAAGGAGTATGCGGGGCCTGACCCACATTCTCAGAAGAGGAGAGAAGAGGCCCTTGCCTGCCCTGTGTGCCAGGAGCACTTCCGGGAGCGCCACCACCTCTCCCGGCACATGACTTCTCACAGCTAGCAGGTGGCCACGGAGTGACCTGCTGCATGCGTCAGCCAGCCTTTGTCAGAAGGGGCTCCCTGGGCTTGCCTTGAGGGGGCTGTCACGGTCCTCTGCGGAGTTGCTGCGTTTGGCATCCATAGATGAACAGTTCAGGCATAATTTGAAAAAGCCGCACCTGAATGATGTGTTTTAAAGGAAATGAAGTCCTGAAATAAAGTGATGGGCTTGGCAAATCCAGGGCAGAGGCCCTAACAGGCAGAGAGTGGGGGCAACTCTGGTGTACATGATGGGCTTTGGAGGCACAAAAGCCCGGATTTGAATCTGGGCTCTTTTCCGTACTAGCTGTGACCTTGCACAAAGACCTGCTGAGCCCCTATTTTCTCATCTGTGAAACGGAGATGACAGCTCTGTGTCTTAGGCTGGCATCTGGGTCACATGAACGATGTGTGCAAAGTGGCCGGCATTCTGCCTGCAGACCCTGAGTGCTGAGTCAGCAAGGTTTGTGATGGTGTCTATACTAGTCAGCTATTGTTATTAACAAGACCTCCATGGCAGACAAGCTAAAGTGGGTCTGTGGGTTGACTCAGGCTAAGCTGAGCTTGGCTGGGCTTGGCAGCAGGTCTCACATTTGATCATGTCATGTCCTTTTGCTTCTTTGGCTGAAGGGCTACCCAGAGAAAGACTGCATCTCTTGCAGTTATGCCAGGAACATAAGAGGGTGAGTCTAATAAGCACACCTCAAGCCTCTGCTTGGGTCACATTGCCAGCGTCCTCTCAGCCCATGCAAGTGGCAGGGTTAGGCCCAATACTGAGGAGTGGAAAAGCGCAGGCTGCCCTTGGTGAAGCTGTGGCAAGGGATTGAGCATCCATTCCCTCCACAGGAGGGTGAGGAATTGGGACCGGTAATTTTGCCCGCCACCTGGTCTATCGTTCTTCACATTGTGAATATACAAATAGGGGGAAATAGAACCCCCTCCCCACCACCTACACACATGCCCTATTACCTTCCAAGAATAGGGCATGTGGAAAAACTCAGCTTCCAGATCGTGATGCTGGGGAGCATTCCAGGTACCATGTATTATCTACTGTGTTTCAGTCAGTAGCTGCTGTAGGTACCCATGTCGGCCCTTGTGCCTAAGGATGTGTGGGGCCCAGGCCATACTCTTTGACATTGCACAGGTCAGTCTGATGAAAGCCCTTTGTGGGGAGTTTCTGAGCCGGTGTCGTTTTTGCACTGGTTTCCACCTCACTGTCAGGTTTTGGTCTTTTGATGTGCGGTATCCAGCCCTCCAATGGGGCCCCCAGCGCAGAGCTCAGGCTTGTGGCTGGGAAGAAGCCGGAGTGAGAGGGTGGGGATCCCAGCCAGCCTCCCAGACTGCTCCTCTTCTCCCGCTCTCCTCTGTCCACCCTTCCAGGCAGCAGCACTTCCTCCTGGCTGCTCTGGTGTCCTCGCTGCCTCCACTCCTGCCGCTCACCACACACCCATCCATTGTCCACACGCACACAACCAGATCATCTTCTGAAAGTGTAAGATGATGACTCCAACCTCGTGGCTGTCCTTCACACTTACAGCCCTAACCCCGGCAGGACCTGCCAGCTGCTTTACAAACAAGTCCCTGCCGATGTTAATTGCAAGCACTCATTTGACTCTCCCTGTGTGCCAGGCAATAGCATAAGCACTGGAAGAATACAGATGATATAGTGAGTCCTACAACAGCCCTGGGAGGCAAGAGCTGTTTCCTTTCCATTTCGACAATGAGTCAATTGCAGATAATGCTATATCACTTCTGGTGTTTCTGATACTCCCCTCTATACCTACTACCTTCACCGGCTGAGCTTGGCCTTAGGAGGCCCATAGGTGGCAGAGGGCAGAGGGGACTCCACTATACCACCTCGCTGCTGTTCTGCTGTCTGCTCCTGTGTTCTGACCGCAGCTCTCGTGCCGTTTCTCAAGGCTGGGCTTCGTTCAGCATTTGCTGTCCAGCTCCTGTTGGTGCTGCTCCCACTGTGGTTCCACAGGGCTGCTTCTCTCAGGTCAGCTCCTTAGAGAGGCCTCCCAGATTCCCCATAAAGCAGCCCTGCAGCCTCGTGTCCCTGTGGCTTCCTTCACAGCACGTCTCACCGTCTGCAAACATCTTTATGTTTGTCGTTTTGTTGATTTGCTGCATCCACACTGTCAGCTCCTTGGGAGTAGAGACTGGTTTGTTTACTGTGCATCCTCAGTGCCCAGAACAGGGCATTGCATATTGTCAGTGCATAATAAATACTGTGGAAATAATGTCTGTGTGAGAAGCTGGGTCTGAATATGTGTGTATTCTTCCTTTGGCTGTGGAGGGTGCCGGGGGGCTGCCGTGCAGCTGGAATGCTCCACATGTGCTAAGCTTCCTTCACTCATCCTGTCTCCCTCGCCTGGCAAAGGATTGAGTGAGTGGGTCCATTTCCATTCATTTATTCAGCATCTCTGGCTCAGCCTCAAAGACAAGTATATGCTGGTGATTTTGTGATGCAGGCAGCAGAGCAGTGGCTGGTGAGAAAGTCAAGTCCAGAGGCTGCAAATGTGTCAGGGTGTGAGGAGGAGGAAATGGAGGGGCAGGGGGAGGAGGGCCTCACAGGAGAGTGGTTTGGATAAAGAATACTGAGTGCTTGGCTTGGAGAGGCACTGGGGATGCTCTCCAGCTGCAGTGCGGAGCGTGGTCTGGAGGAGGGAGCCTGACCTTCTGAGCTCATTGTCTTCCACATCTAGAAAAGGGCAGAGTGCTCCCTGCAGGTGCCAATGAAGCATCTTCATTCTCACAGGACACTGGGAGGTCCCTTGATGACTGAGAAAAGACAAGGAAAGCTCAGCCTTGCCAGCCCCTTTAGGTGCTATGTTGGGGTGTAATCTACACACCGAGAGGCTGAGCACAGAAGGCAGGTAAAGCTATGAGAGCCTCCCACTGTGCTGTCCCGGGTGAGGCAGGAAGGGGCAACTCAGGGTCTTGGCATGAGGCCCCACACTATGAATTTGACAGGCAGCAGCCGGGAGGCAGATTGTCTTTAATAATTCCCACTGTACTGCAGATGACGTTAAGCTCCAAGAGGTCAAGGACGCTCCTAAGACCATAGGCTCAGGAGCAGCTGTGCCAGAATAAGACTCTAGGACCCCAGACTGAGCTCATGTCCTTTTCAGCCTGCCACCTGTCTGCTCAGCCCAGTGTGGTCACGTGGCACTGTAGATGGTTCAGGAACTGGGACAGCAGCAGGTGTAGCCTCCCTGTCTCAAATTTCAATTCACACCTGCTGCTTGTGAATACACACACTTTCCTATCGCCTTCTCTCCAGCACTTTCACTATCTTGCACACTAAGACTTTCACTGATTTATCTTATTTACCCTGTCTCCTGTCACTAGAATGTAAGCTCTGTGAGGGATTTTTGCTGGGTTTTTTACCTGCAGTGTTGCTGGTGTCCAGAGAAATGTAGGCACATAGTAGGTGTTCAACAGACATTTGTTGAATGAATAAATGAATAAATAAATGAATGAATGGGTGAGATGCCTGGTTTTGACCTGGCTCTTGCCACATCTCAAATCAGCTTCTCGGGAGAATTTTAGGGTCTATCAAACGCCGTGCACAATTGTCCTTTTCTGGCTTCATGGATTGGTTTGTAATCCATTGTCTGTGAAATCTCTTTGAAAGGCAGAAATGTGCCAAGACATGATAGACACTTAGAACTGAAGGGACTTTAGATTTCTAGACCATCTCCTCACTGTATAATATTGGACTTTGAGGTCCGCAGACATGAGCTGATGTGCCCAGTGTTGCAGGGCAAGTGGTAGTGAGATCAAGGTTAGAACCACTGAGAGATCTGGACCTTGCCCCATCCACAATCCACGAGGAACCTCCGCTAGGCCAAGCAGCAGTTTCCATTGCACGTGAATAGAATGGCCTCACATGTAATTATTACTAACCCTGACCAGTTATACCATTCCCAAGCAGGATGGGCATTTAGGAAAATTTTTAAGTTATAAAAAACAACTATCTTCCTTCAACTCTGATTTTAAAGATAGAGTTAATTTTGGTAAAAATGGATGAAGATCCAAATTGCTTAAAGTCATTTAAATGGACAAGCTCAAAAGTGATTTATGGAAGTGATGGATGTACAGCTTGTTAATGTTGCAGCTCCCTCTCTCTCCCTGTGGTCCTGGTGAGATATGCACCCTGTCACTATTGAATTCCTAACCTGCCTCTCAAGCTCACAGAAGCTCCTCAATGCCCCACCTCAAGATTGTACCCTGTTACTTGGTGCCCCAGGGTGTCCCCTTACTGTTCTGGCTGGCTTTGCCTCTATCCTCTACTCTCCTAGGATCTAGGTCCATGGTGGCTTTCTGGCAAAGTTGTTGGAAGCCATGAGAATCAAAGGCACCGAGTGGATGAACAGGAAGCCTTAGCTGACCTCGAGGAACAGAGGAGGGAATTATCACCAGGCTGGGCTCCCAGAGTCTCTTTGGGAGTCATATCCTCTCTTAGCCCTTTTTCATTTCTGCTCTCCTGTATCTACTGGAGAGCAAACACATTAAATCATGGCTTTGCCCAACTCTCTCCACCACTGCTATGGTCTGAATGTTTGTGTCTCACAAAATTTATTTAAAATCCTAATCCCCAAGATAATGGGATTAGAAAGTGGGGCTTTTAAGAGGTTGGGATTAGTGCCCTTACAAAAGAGAGCCCCCTGGTTCAGCACAGTGGCTCATGCCCATAATCCTAGCACTTTGGGGGGCTGAGGTGGGAAGATCGCTCAAGGATAGGAGAGTGAGACCAGCCTGGACAACACAGTGAGACACCCCTCTCTACCAAAAAATACAAAAATTAGCTGAATATGGGGGTGTGTGTGCCTGTATTCCCAGCTACTCTGGAGGCTGAGGTGGGTGGGGTATGGAGGATGGTTACTTAAACTCAAGAGTTTAAGGCTGCAGTGAGCTATGATTGTGCCAACTGCATTCCAGCCTGAGCATCAGAGTGAGACCCTGTTTCTAAAACATAAATAAAAAATAAATCACAGAGAGCTAGTTCCCTGCTTCCACCATGTGAAAATGCAGTTGAAATTTGCATCTCCCAACTAGGAAGATGGCACCAAACACCAAAGCTGCTGGTGCCTTGATCTGGGACGTCCTCACCTCTAGGACTGTGAGCAATAAATTTCTCTTGTTTGTAAGTCACACAGTTTATGGTATTTTGTTGTAGAGGCCCAAATGGACTAGGCAGTCACCTTCTATATGCCAGTTAAGAGTTGGCATGTGATGTTTTCACAATATATCACATCAGCAGGTATGAATTTTACAATCCTGAGTATGAATTACCACATTCCTTAAATTCTCTATGTCTAATTGAATCAGCTCAGCACCCCATCCTGTGGTCCTGGTGAGATATGCACCCTGTCACTATTGAATTCCTAACCTGCCTCTCAAGCTCACAGAAGCTCCTCAATGCCCCACCTCAAGATTGTACCCTGTTACTTGGTGCCCCAGGGTGTCCCCTTACTGTTCTGGCTGGCTTTGCCTCTATCCTCTACTCTCCTAGGATCTAGGACCATGGTGGCTTTCTGGCAAAGGTGTTGGAAGCCATGAGAATCAAAGGCACCGAGTGGATGAGCAGGAAGCCTTGGCTGACCTCGAGGAACAGAGGAGGGAAGCTGTCTACAGTAGTTGGAAACATGGCAAATTCTGTCTTCATAAATTACCTCCCAGCGGCAGCCATTCAGTTCAGATTTACAAAAGTCCTCCACCAATATGCTAATGAGGCTAAACTAAGACATTCTGAATTCAGATTCATTTCGGTTCTCAATTTTAACAAAGGTCAAGTTTTCTTTCTGTTTTTAACTGGGAGAGAAATAAAACCACAACAAAAGTGGGCTCCTAGAAGCCAACTTCTTGCCATTTCCTGCATCTCTAGGCCAGGGATGCTAAGCTCAGATGCCTACTGAAGAAGGCGAATGAGTGGCTGGAGCTGCCTGGAAGTGGTGATGGTGGGGAGCGCAGGTGCCTGGGTGAAGACTGCGCAGCCAGGCTGGGTGCAGGCCTCGAGAAAGGCCAGAGTTCAGGTCTTTATATGAAATTCGTTGTCAGCTGACTGTGGTTTTGTAAACACTGATGGATGGCCTCAGTGGCAGGGATTCATGGCAGCATGTCAGTGGTGGCAATGGTGCAGGGATGCCACCAGCTGGTGACCCCTAACTCTTCTGCGCTCCCAGCTTTGGAACAGGCCAGTGCTGGGCCTGGCGTGTGTAACCTCAGCCATACCACCTTGTTCCTGTGAGCCTGGAGAGAGAGCCCTTTCCAGGGGGAAAGTCGGCCAGAGTAGCCCCCAGGCCAGGCTTTCATCCTCATTCCCTTGGAAAGTGATGGCGCCATCTGGACTCAGCAGGCCACCGCCTTCAGAGAAGGATTCACATACCTTTGTCATTTGCTTAATTTTGTTGTGGTTTAGAAGTCCTGTGGTAGGTCTACAGACTGCATAGCCAGATCAGAAACTCACAGAACAAGCCCTTTATTTGAAAAATAAACCACTCTCTAGCATGTGTTGGGTTGTGACGCTTCCTAGAAGTTTCAGAAACCTTTTGTTTTGTTTTTTGATTCTTTTTTCTTTTTTTTTTTTTTTGAGACAGAGTCTTGTTCTGTTGCCCAGGCTAGAGTGCAATGGCACGATCTCAGCTGACTGCAACTTCAGACTCCCAGTTTCAAGTGATTCTCTTGCCTCAGCCTTCCGAGTAGCTGGGATTACAGGCACCCGGCATCACACTCAGCTAATTTTTATATTTTTGCAGAGATGGGATTTCACCACGTTGGCCAGGCTGCTTTTGAACTCCTGACCTCAGGTGATCTGCTCACCTCAGCCTCCCAAAGTGCTGGGATTACAGGCATGAGCCACCATGCCCGGCCCAGAAATCGGTTTTGAAAGGGGGTTGGGGGGGCAGTGCCTGCAGGAAGGACGGGATGGGTTCTCTAACATTTTCTTTCCATCCATCTTGCCATCTCGTGTTTTCCTGAGGCAAGACGGAGGAAGTCTGTGTCGTCTGACCCCATTGCTATTCTAAGCTGCTTGGATTACGAGGCTATTTGTAGTGCCAGCTGCTCTGGTCAGCAAAGCAGAGAGGGTACCTAGGCCAGGTGGCAGCTAAATCCCAGAGGGAGCAGGAGGTGGGAGGTGAGTGCCCCTGGGCGGGGACCTTGGAGGTGGGTTTCCTGGCCCGGTGTGTGACCTGGCTTCATTGCTTTTTTTTCTGAGCCACATGGTCTCACTGCA